GAGTCCCACGTCGGGCTCCCTGCTCGGCGGGGAGTCTGCTTCTCCCTCTGACCCTCCCCCCTCTCATGCTCTCTCTATCTCATTCTCTCTCTCACAAATAAATAAATAAAATCTTAAAAAAAAAAAAGCAAGAGCGAAAATGACACACAAGAATTTCATGCTGAGGGCGCCTGGGTGGCTCAGTTGGTTAAGCGACTGCCTTCGGCTCAGGTCATGGTCCTGGAGTCCTGGGATCGAGTCCCACATCGGGCTCCCTGCTCGGCGGGGAGTCTGCTTCTCCCTCTGACCCTCCCCCCTCTCATGTGCTCTCTCTCATTCTCTCTCTCACAAATAAATAAATAAAATCTTTAAAAAAAAAAAAAAGAAATAACAATTTATATCAGGTTCTCATTAAAACAAAATTATTTCGAATTCCCGTGCCTCGACTTCGGCAGATCAGATGGAGAAGGCAAGGTACGGGATGCAAAAGTATTCACCAGCATTTCCAAAGCAGTTCAGTCAGAAAATCAAAGTATTTACCAAGAGAGAATTTAGCACAGTGGCTCAAGATCAACTGGCTCCACTAGCTGTGTGATCTTGGCAAGTTATTTAACCTCTCTGTGCCTCAAAACCTTCATGTGCAAATTAGAATAATAATAATAGTACTTATTTCCTAGTGTTGTTTTGTTACAATGAAATGCAATGTCTGTAAGATTTGGTGTGTGATCCACAGTTAAGGATTCAGTAGAAACCATGGCGGTGGTTAGTATTATTACTGTTACGTTTGACAGTATTAGTTCTGTGGTGGCCCTCTTGCAGAGAGGATGTGAAAGCAAAGCTAAGAACTCAGAATAGGTACGATTTGGACTGAAGAAGAACCAAAAAGTTTCATCCAACAAACCTTTACTGATCACCTACTTTGTGTCAGTTGCTAGGGCACAGATTTGAATAAATCCCAGTCTTACCGTCTAAGCATTCCAGGCCGGGGGGAGGCAGTGTGTTGGGGAGGAAGAGGGTGGTGAGGAGTCTGATCTGCGTATTCAGAGGTTTCATGTTGATGAAGAATGACGGGGGGAGGTGGAATCATTTGGGAGGGGCAGGTTTATCCAAAAGCCATCAGAGTCACGGAGAGACATTTAGAATGGATGCAGCAGCTTTAGGGAATCTCAGCAATGCGGAATGACCTGAAAAGGTTCCCTCATCTGTAAAATGAGGATAATCACAGAACCCACCTCATAGGGTCATTATGGGGATTGAGTAAGTGAACATTTGGGAAGTCTTTAGAATGGCGCCTGGCATTCAGTGAGCTTCATACAGGTGTAGCGGCTGTTATGATGTCTCAACATGCACATAAGAGGCACTCAATAAATGTTTAAGTGGGTGAATGAATGAACAAATGAATGACCAGTGAATGTCATTATGGGAAAAGTTAATTCCACCTCTGCCACTCACCGGCCTGTGGGTAAATCACTTCACCTCTCTGGGCCTTTGGTTTTCCCATCTGGCAATGAGGGGCCTGTGCTTGCTGGTCACCAAGGTTACTTCCGGGGCTAAAGTCCCATTGTACCAAAAAGTAATTTGAGGGTATGAGGAACACAGAGAAACACATGTTATACAGGTTCCCTGGTTTAAGAGATTGAGGTAAATGATGTCACTCATGAAGACAAAGTTTGAGAAGGGAGTCAGTCCCTTAAGTACACTGAAATAGGACGAGGTCAATATTTCCTTATTGTTTAATTGCATGTGTATTGTATGAAGCTATTCACTTCATGAAATTTCGAATGGTTTCTATTTGTATCACGGTGAGATGTGGTGACCCCGATGGCAGTGGGTCATCCAAGTGAGATGCCAGGAGGTCAGATTGCCAAGTGTGAGGGTGAGGAGACAAAGATTTAACAGTGAGAGATTAACTATCCAAGGAAAACCCACATCTGAGCTTACAGCAAGTCCCCCAGATGCCCTGTGATAGGACTGGCTGTCATTGCCAATGGTCATCTGATGGGTTAGGCGTTGGAGCAAAAGCACCGTTGAAGGCACTGTCGTAGCACGGACAAGCCCTGAGTTCTATACCAAGAAAAGGTCGACTCAACAGCCCCATCCTACCTCCCTAGTTGTGGTGAACAGACTCCCTAACATGTGACATTAGCCCCACAGAAAGCAAGCGGAAAGCACGTGACCAAGTAGCTCATGGTCATCAGGAATGGTGCCAGCTTTGCATTCCGTGCAGGGTATTTTACTTTATAACCCAGCTGGCCCATTCTGACCCAGATGGGTTAGAAATTTCTCAGGATGATTCTGCTTAAATAAAGCCCATAGCCCAACCTGGGCTGGACTTCCCTGCATCTTACATTTATCCAGTACAAAACACTGCTTGGGACGCATTGTCAAAGCAGCTTTCACCTCCACTGAGCAGCTCTGCCCCTGGGTCAACGAGACCAGCGTGGTGGGGCTGGTGGACAGGCTTCCTCTTTAGTAGCCCCCAATTCCACAGGCTGCCTAAACGGTGGTCCAAGGGAATAAAGGAGATACCTTGTAATAGAGCAGATGCCCCTTTCAGACGTTATGGAGAGCTACGGGTGCCTGGTTCTCTGGAAAAGCTGGTAAGTGGAGGATTATGAAGAGGAGACACATTCATACTGAATCACTTCGTATCAACATAAGCTATACAAAGGAACAATCATTTGACAGCTTTTTGAGATAGGATCAAAGACTCTCTTCGATTATGGACCCCAATGATATGAATTTCTTTCTTAGCTACACACTCAAGATAAACTGTCCAGGTTGGGCATCTTTAAAGTGCATCAAGAATTTAAAAACACTTTTGAAACAACCTGTATGTTGACCCCTTTCAGATTTTTATTATTTTTTCCCCATTTTTTCAGTTATTTCACCTCTACCAAACTCATGAGCAATTGTCTTAGCCAACTCTTCTTTATCAAGTTGTTCTGAACACCCCACCTGGGTCTTCATAGAAACAACAACTCTCTCTTTTCACATTAATTTCATCAGTGAAATGTAATATTTAGGGAACTTACATTATTAAAATAACAGGCATGCCTGACATAAACAGATTTGAGAACAAACACAACTGACTGAATCTCACATACAACTCCACTGGCGTGAGCAGAAGCATGAACATACCAGAGCAGGCTGCCAGCCACAGGATTCTAGCATATTGTAAGCTGCCATGAGCACATTTTTCAAACTGCATGGAGGAGATTGGTTGATCCAGCAAGGAGTTAGTTGACTAGATCTCCTAGTATAACTAAGTTGTCGAACCACAGGTCAACCACAGGTCCTCTCTGACCCTCTCTTCTGGTCATCCTAAATGTCATTCATACCGCTCATCTATTGTCTTCCCTGGGTCATTCTACTTGGCACTGGAGAAGGAGGGAGATACTGAAGAAGCAGAAGTAGGGAGAGGAAGTGATGAAGGCAGGTTTCAGAAAGAATCCTCTGGCAACTGAGGGCCAAGAACCCTTCCTTAGCTTGGAAAGAGAGACCCAGATTGTCCTCCTTTTTCACTGTTCATGCACTCCACCTGGCAGGCCGCGCTGGTGCTAGGTGTAGGGATTCAAGCTGAGTAGGACACAGCCTCTGCCCTTGAAGAGCCCTCAGCCTAGAGCCGGGACAGTCTAGTAAACCCATGATTACCGTGCACTGGAATTAGGTTTCATGGGTGAGGGTAGGTAGATGCTATCCAGAACACAGAGCTGGGTCTTCCAAGATTAGTAGGAGGTTGCCAGAGAGAGGAAAAAAAGAGGGAAGTGGAAAGGCCTTTCCTAGCAGAGAACACATGGGCAGAAGAGTGGAACTGAAAGTGAGGCAGGGAAGGAAGAGGTTGACAAGATAAGCAGACTGGATCTTAAAGAACCAAGCCTGCCACCCTAAGGAGCCCGATGGTTCTTCTGAGGTCACTGAGGAAGCAGTGCAGGGAGTGGAGGAGGTAACATGATCATATTTGTAGAAGATGACCCTGGTGAGGGATGCTTGGGGTGAAACAGAGTGAGGAGGATGAAAGGGAATGGTCAAGACTTGGAAGATGGAGTCCTCATCTGATCCTGAGCTGTAGGAAGATTCCTGGAGGTTAGGTGTCATGGCTTCCACACAGAAGCAAATTCTGCACAGCGCAGCACCAGGCACACAGGGAGGGCTGGCTGGGTGGCTGGCTGGATGAGCAGATGGACAGATGGACGGATGGATTTGTAACGGCACCACACTGCAGGTTTTGCACATGTAATTTCTCTTCTTCCCTCAGCCATCTATCTCTGTAAGAGGACAATGCAGAATAAAGCAAGGCTGGAATTGGCAGATTATGAAGCAGTAAGTATGGTTATTTTTCAGTTTAGGTGTGGGAGGAGAGTAAAACCGTATCTGCAGCTCTGTTTCTGCTTCTATGGTTCCTTTTTTCTCTCCCTAGTCCCTTTCAGACAGTGGAAAGGAAGTCCCTTTTATCTCCCCTCCTTTGTTCTCACCTCTTCTTACCATCCAATAAAATTGCATCTTTATATAAGGAGCTCTTAAAACTCAGCAATAAGAAACAAACAGCTCAAAAATGGGCAAAGGACTTGAACAGACACTTCACCGAAGAGGACATTAGGGAGGACAAATAAACACATTAAGAGATGTTCAACATCCGCAGCCATTAGGGAAATAAAGATTAAATCCAGGCTGAGATGCCCCTACAGATCTGTTAGATTGGCCAAAATAAAAAGTCCTGGGAATGCCAAGTGGGAATGCAGAATGGCACAGCCACTCTGGAAAATGGTTTGGCAGTTTCTTACGAAGTTAAGCATACACTTCCCATATAACCGAGCAGTCCCACTCCTACATACATACCCAGAGAAATCAGAACTTCTGTTCACACACAAACCTGGGTATAGCAGCTCTGTTTGTGATAAGCAAAAGCTGAAAACAACCCGAAGGTGCTTTAGGAGGTAAATGGTGAAATAAACATTGGTATGTCCATTCAGGGGAATATTCCTCTGTGGTGAAAAGGAGTAAACTATTGATCCACACGACCGCTTGGATGAGTATTCCAGACATTACGTGGAATGAAAGAAGCCAGTCTCAAAAGATTTCAAACTGTGTGACTCCATTTATATGACATTCTCGTAAATACAAAACTATCATGAGAGAGAACAGATCACTGGTTGCTTGGAGTTACAGGTGGGGGTATGATGTGGTTATACAGAGATAGCACAGGGAGTTTTTTGGGGATGATGGAACTATTATGTATCCTGATTGTGGTGGTTGTTCCAGATCTAATCTATACGTGTGTTAAAATGCACACAGCTGTACACCAAAAGAAAAAAAAGGGGAGGGTAATATGAGAATTTTTAAAACTTACTATATGATAATTTTTAATTGCATCTTTAAACCCAACTCTGCCTTTCTTGGCAGTAGAATCTAAGGACCAAATCTAATCCAGAAGATAAGATACGTGTCAGATGAAGTATTGACATTCCCAGTTCTCCTGCTGCACCACCTTTTCCCCAAACCAAACTTTATATGGGTCACAGAGAATCTGGGAAATGGACCAGATTTTCACATACCCTCCAGAAGATACGGCAGCTGCTGATCCATGAAATGACTGACGGGCTGGCGGCGAGGGGGAGGGGCAGCCCTGGAGCAGTGAGGAGTCCTTCCCCCGTAATCCAGCACTAACAGGACTTCCAGCTCCTTCCTTCCAAACGTCCCTCGCATGCTGCCTCAGTTTCCCACAATAAGTGTGAGGCCCACTGCACCAGGCTTTGTCGCTCTTGGGGACCTGTGCATAAGCCAGTGGGGAAACAGTCCTGGAGGACATGGTTCAGTTGACCCAGGGCCTCAGGACCTGGACAAAGTGTGCTTATCAATGGGAGCCATTACAAATAAATATGTTGGAACATTATGATCTTCCCAGGCAAACCCTAGCATAGCTGTTCTGTGGATCTGAGCATCCTGCGCACCCAGTTCCTGTCCCCATCAGCCCTCCTGTGCCAGCCATCACCCCTCATTCAGAATCTGCTCTCCTACTTCTGTGCACCCAGTACGAGGTGCTGCATCCCTTCCCTAACATGACCTATCAAAAAGACCTAGCCTGCAGAAGCATGTGGTCCGGCCCCCCTGTGTCTCTCTTCCCCAGATTTTCCATGTCATAGAAAAGGTCCTACACAGAAACAAGATAGCATCAACTCCCGATATATTTTATTTAGTTTTCTCCTCTCTTGCTGTATAATATTCTGTTCTGATATTTGTAAAGAATATGGCATTAAGATGTTCTTTCAGGCTGAAGTTCTGCCTAAAAGTGGGTTAGAAAATTTTAAAAGTATTTTGTTTTCAAAATTCAGTAATGTTATTAATTTTTTTCTGATGACACATTCTCTTTGTAAAACCAAAAATTCAATAGCAAAGAAAGGAGGGGAAAGAATCTATAATCCTTCTCCCCTAATCTTTCTTCTGTACATACATTTTTTCCTTTACAAAACAAAAAAACTTGAATCATACCCCGAACATTATCCTATAAGCTGCTTCTTTCTCCAATCATTAGCTGTAAGTATATTGAGAATCCTTCCATGTCAGTAACAATAATCTACATTATTGATTTTGATTGTTGCCTAGTATTCCATGGTATGACTCTTCATAATTTATATAACTGCTCCTGAATTGACTGATGTGTAGGTATCACCAGCTTTGCGTCCTATGAACAGTGGAAGAATCAAAGGAACAATTTTTTTTTTAGGTATTTGTACACTGAGCCTTGGTAATAACTGAGTTTAGTTTACGTGTGTTGATCTTCAACTGAAGCTCCTTTCATATTAATAACCCACTAATGAGGGTAATCAATTAGTGTTGGCATGAGCTCTATGAAAATACATAGCATAATGTGGGCTCTGTCCTTGCATTCCATCAGAATTAGGTGGATCATTAGGAGACCTGTCAAACACCCCCCCCTCCAACCACTGTCCTGTTGTGCCATCAGGTAAGACTACAGGCTTAGAGAAAAAGCTTCTCCCCTCTTCCTCCTAAGGCAACCCTGGATGCCTTTTCTTTCTTTCTGTTTTTGGGTTTTCCTTTCATGAACCTCGCAAATATAGACATTCCCTTTTCTCCCTCTTTTGAATCTAAACTTTCAAAGGCATGAATGCCAGGTCATCAGTGTTTTCCTTTCCTGACGCCTTCCCCGGCCCCTGCTTGCTAGAAGATGAGTCTTGAGAAATCCCTTCTTGCCTTTGCTCTTGGAGATGTCCAGTAGGCTGCACAGAGCCCCCTCATCCCTTCCCCAAATCCTGCATGAATAGCCACAAACCCTTTTCCCTATCTTCAGTGACGGTGACGACAAGTTCATATAAAACACATAAGAGAAGAGGAATCAGGTGAACCACGGAGATTGCAGATTTAATGGGTGTGTAAATGAATATTAATAGTTCTACTCTGTACAGCAGGGTCTGGTGCAAAATCACATTGGGTTCACATCCAGTGGATTTAAAGTGGGGTGCTGCTATTCTATGGAGAGTAACCAAAATAGATGACTGCCTTGTAATAAGCATAGGTATCGATGTGCAAACTTACAAAGATTAATGCCTTCTCGTTGATTTTCATTTCTCATTAGGAAAACTTAGCAAGACTCCAGAGGGCCTTTGCAAGGAAGTGGGAATTCATCTTTATGCAAGCAGAAGCACAAGTGAAGTAGGTGAACTTGACAGAGACCCTGGAAAAGAGAGAAAGACTCTCTGGAATGTGGAGGTGGCGTGAGGTGGTTTCCTTCCACGGCCGGCCAGCCATGGCCAGTCAAATGCTGTCGTCTTGCATGAGAGCAGCAGAGTAGAAATCAAGGTCGAGATGGATAAGTTTCATCTTTGAAATCAATGGCACTCTGAAATAACTTCAAAAGCATGTGTTCTAGCAGGCAATGGGCTTGCTTTCCAATGTAGAAATCTGGTTAGAAGATGTTCCTATTTCCTAAAGAGATTTCCAAGTATTCTTCTGTGCTCAGGGGCTGAAAAACATCAGACCCACTTTTCTGGAGATTCTCTCTTCATAGGAAAACATGTTGGAGTTTAGGGAGGCCAGCTCCTCTCCCTTCCCCCCCAGGGGAGGAGTTGAGCACATCAAAAATAAGGCACAGAAGTCAGATGTTGGAGTCCAGTGTCTTAAGATTATTACTGATAAAAGCCAGGTTCTAGGGCGTGACTTTGGATCTGTGACCACAGATCTTTACCCTGGAATTCAACTTGCCCATGCTGAACAGAGCTAGATATCTGCAGAACCCCCCACCCCAGGGCAGAGTTGACCCCTGTAAGTTCACTGCATGCAGAGGACAGGCATCCTGAGAACAGGCTGACCCACACAGGGCCCAGAAAGGACCGACCTGAGCTTTCTCAATTTCTTCTTTCAGATCCACCAACAAAGTGAAGGCCCTCTTTCTCCCCCAGAGTACAGGGGATGAAAGACTAGCTGGAGTGTTTCCCCATACTTTTCCCTCCCAGGGACTATAGTGGAAATTCCTACCTCTCTAAGGAAACATAAGAAGTGGCCAATACATGGCCTCCCGCCCATAAGCATAGTTGTCAACCAGGTCCTTGCAATTCTAGAAATTGAACTTGCTCAGGTTGGGTTCTCTCTTGCCCTCTCCAACAATGATCTCTGATTTAGCCGGGAGTGTTAACAGAAGAAATGGGACAGAGGAGGAGATGAGAAAGGGACACTGAGCTAGGCAAAGGTGAGCACCTCTTCTCTGAACGCTGCTTGTCCCTGAGCAGCGCCCCTCCGCACTCTGGGGGCAGCATTGTAGCCCATCACCCCGGGCTGGCTCATCGATCACAGGTGTAGTCATGGTTGGAAATGACCCAAGGACTTTGGGTCCGGTGGCCAGCATGGTGCCATGGCTCTCCCCCTCCCTCTGCAGTCTCTGCCTTTCCCCTCTGCTACGATTCCACACGCCTGCAGACCATACCTGGTGCTGCCGGCAGCCAGGAGGGAGGTGGGCACTGGGCACAGGATGCTGTGCTGAGCTGGAGGAGCCGTGGCCCCTGAGGAAAGAGAAAGTGGGAGGGGGGTTGAGGGGGGAGGAGACGGCAGAACCGAGCCTGTGTACTCAGAAGCCACTGTGAAGCAAAGAGGAGAGCTAATTTGCACTTTGAGGATCACCCAGCATCGCATGTTGAAAAAGGAGGGGAAATTGTCACTTTCTACATATATGGTATTTCTCGATTAACTTTTTTGATTAAGTTCGTGATTACATTATAATTGTGGGCCGTTGAAATACACAGTAATTATCACAAAAATCAGAGGGTGATTATGGTTTATTTCAGGCCAGTAAACTGAAGTGCTCCCAAGAGAGCCAAGAACCAGAAGTTACACAACAATTAATCTGTTACTTTTTACTTAGAGAGGTAATATGAAGTAATACAGGCCTTAAAAAAAAAAAAAAAAACTCTTATCTATTTACTGATCAGAACATAAAGAATCTGTCTTAGTCACCTGTAATTTACCTCCTGCAATTTGTACCTCCCCCAGCTGAGACTAGTGATATTTGCCTTCTGGATCTTGTCACATGCTAGGGCAATTACTCTGCTTTTAGAAAGCTAGATGCTTTACGTGACTTTTAAAACATGCAACTGCAGTATTTTGAAGGCATTTCTATTAACTGAATCTAAAGCAAACTCTCAAATTTGAGGATGAAACACTGCAAGCCCATGGTTATATTCTTTCCTATAATTTGAATACACAGTATTCACTTTGATGGGGGGCATGTCCATGGATAATTCAGTTCTGAATAATATCCATCTTAATCATCCACATGAACAGTTGGATTCTGGTTCTCTCCTTAGGCCCACAATGTTCAGTCCACATCTATGATGATTTGTAGTCCAGCCTAAAACAAGTACTCCTCCCACGTGTGGACTTCTTGAGGTTCTCTTGAGGGAATGGTCCGCCCCTATGTTACAGCTCTGCAAAGAGCAGGGACCACACAGATGCCAATAGCCCAGTGTGCACTAAGCTCCTAGAAACAGGAGGCTCTGATCTCCTTTCTTTGCTTTTTCAGGATAGATCGGAAAAAGGACAAGACGGAAAGGAAAATTTTGGATAGTCAAGAACGGGCCTTTTGGGATGTGCACAGGCCAGTGGTGAGAAAGCTCTGCTTGTTTCTCTATGTTTTTGTTTTGTTTTGTTTTGTTTCCCTCTTCCTTCACTTGAAAGAAAAGACTGTCTTTAGCCACCAGGTGTCTCATTCTTAAAATTAAAGAGCATTGCTAAACTTTGTGAAATTGGTTTTGCCATTCAGTCAATATAATCTCGGTAGATTGTCTGGAATGTATGTCAGTTCCAGCTTTTAAGAATTATTCATCCATGAAAATATGGACTTGGAAAAGGAGAACCGTGGGAAGTCCCCCTGGGACATCTGGGCCCCAGAAGTTTACAGCCCCAAAATAAGCAGTTTCTGGGGTTTTTTTTAAGTATATTTGGGTGTTCCCAAATTGGGTGCATAAATATTTACAGTTGTTAGAACTTCTTGTTGGATTGTCCCCTTTATTATGATACAGAGCCCTTCTTCACTTCTCGTTTGTCTTTGGTTTTAAGTCTAGTTGTCTGATATGAGTATAGCTAAATCCGGCTTTCTTTTGACATCCATTTGCATGATAGATGTTTCTCCATCCCCTCACTTTCAATAAGCAGTTTCCATTTCTACTGTCACTCAACTCTAAATTGTAGAATAATCTTCCTCAAATGCGGCCCACTGTCAGTATTCATGGTAGTTACGTTCTGCAAAGTAGCCATGCTCCCTGAATTAGCCAATGCTGAGCCGTTATCCAGGGAGACATACAGGGTTAGGTTTCCATGAGCCTCTGGTCACAATCTTTTCAACTAATCAATAGGTAACCATGTCTAAAGCCTGTTTCTGTTTAAAGACATCTTATTTAAAGTATGTTCTTGGTTTATGAATACGGAATTCAGGGCCACCAGTGTTCTCTGCCTGACACACCTGTGTTCTCTGTCACACACCCCACAGCCCTCTTGCACATAGGAACGCTAGACGGCACATCATACTATGCTCGGGGGCCATGTTAAACAGCAAAATCAACAAAAAGCACAGAACTGTGGAAAAGGTGGGCCTAAATAGACCATCAAAAGGACATTCGTTTACAGTAAGAGATGAAACAAGAAGGCAGAGCCTCAGCTTAGTCAGCCTCCCTAGGAACACCACATCGGGCCGCTCATGATTTTTGCTGCTTTGCCCGTGTCCACAAATGATCACAAATGCACCACAAATAGGGACTTGGGGGTTATGAATAAAGTTTAGTTCGTAGGTGAATTCACAAATACAAAATCCATGCATAATGAGGTTAGAAGTAATGAGTATTTTTAATTTCCTATGATTAAAACAAATCTTGCATTCTCCTCATGAATTGGAACTAGAATGAGGAAACTATGTCAGCCCTTCCTAAAAGCTGGTTAAAAGCAAAACCCAAAAAGTAATTCCCCGTTGTGATATTGGATTGTTGGTAGATGGTCAGATAACGTGTAGTAACCAAGGCTGTGGCTGAAACTCTCTGGCCACTCTGAATAAGAAGTTTACTCTTGGGGCGCCTGGGTGGCTCAGTCGGTTAAGCGTCTGCCTTTGGCTCGAGTCATGATCCCAGGGTCCTAGGATCGAGTCCCGCATAGGGCTCTTTGCTCAGTGGGGAGCCTGCTCCTCCCTCGGTTCCTCCTCCCACTTGTGCTCACTCTCTCGCTGTGTCTCTCTCTGTCAAATAAATAAAAATCTTTAAAAAAAAAAAAGAAGAAGAAGTTTACTCTTATAAACTATACACTCTACCCTCTACATGTCACCCCTAGATAGTGGGAGGTAGGCTTTGATATTTCATATGGGGACTCTGTGCAGGAACACATACTGAAGACAAAACGTCTTTGTAAAAGGAATTGTAAATGGCCAAGTGGAGATAATCATGTAATATATGTAATAGGAAAGACAAAGACTGGGTCTGATAGTGTCGCTTGGGTCACACTGGAAGGTATAACTTAGTAATTTATATAATGATTTTTTTTTTCTCAGCCAGGGTGTGTGAATACAACAGAAATGGATATCAGAAAATGCCGGCGTCTGAAGAACCCACAAAAGGTTAAAAAGGTTCGCTAGTTTAGCTGAATTAAAAATTCTTGACGCAAATAGCCTTTCTGTTTCTGGTACTGTTCAAACAGTTGTTTGCTATTTGTTAATTCTACCCCGTTTTGTCCTTTGAAACAATTTCATTCATTCATTCTACAAATATTTGTGGAGTGTACTTGGCACCGTTCTTGCTGCTGAAATACAGTGACGAGTCGTCACAAAGCCACAACTGGGGTGGGGGGAGGCGAAGCCCCAGGCAGTCAGGAGGGCTGTATCAGGGAAGTGCTGGATGGCACCAGGGGGCCAGGAGGGGACACCAGACGGGGGGGCTTCCTGAGGGCTTCCAAAGCAGGCTCAAGTGTGCTGAGGTGTGCAGGGGAAGTAGCAATTGGCTCAGGGGAGGAAAAGAAACTAAAGGAACAAAAAGTATCCAAGTCCCATGGGTGAAGGTGAGCTTAGTACTTTGAAAGTCTTTTATGTAGCTAGATCATCCAAATTCACATCACCATCGTACCCAACTATGAATGTGCCAACCGTCATTTATTTGTGTTTCACTCTCCTGGAAGGGACAGTGGCCATGACATACTCAAGGGTGCCACGCTCAGCCTGCCCCGCAACTGGTATATCCCAACCTTACCACGACACCAAGGACCATATTGTGGGAGAACAAGTCTGTCCCCCTTAATATTAATTTCAAAAGGTTAGAGATGTGCCCCCAGACATTCCTATTTCTTGTAATGACCAATGCTCTCATTTTCTCAAACACACACACACACACACACACACACACACACGACATGATATATATATCAACTTCTTGAATCTACTCACATATTTTATTCTTTACTGAAAAAGTTATGCCCTTGTAGGTATTAGACTTTATGACGCTAGTCTTAAAGCATCCTCAGTTAATCTTTAAGGGCCGCCTAATTCTAATATTCCAGAATTTCATGGTGCTCACATCCTCTCTGTCTGAGCCCCTCTTGATTTTATAGATTTCAGCTATACATTGCATAGCCTTTGGGGTTTCATTCCATTCCCAAAGCAAAGATTGTCTTTTGTCTGTCTCCAGCACAAGGGAACTGCTTAATAAGCAGCCATAGCATGAGGAGAAACTGAGGCCAGAAAGCTGTTTGGCTGAAAAGGAAAGAATCTGAAACCCTGCCATCTCAAATTTGTACCAGATGGGCATTGTCATCTGCTGGGGAAGAGAAAATCTAGAGAGGATCTTTCGTGCATAACTTTCAACAGTTGTTCTTGAACTTTCTTGTGCCTCAGAATCACCTGGGCCATTTGATAAAAGTGCAGGTTCCCAAACCCCACCCACAAAGACTGATTCAGTAGGTCGGGGGTGGGGCTCAGCAATGTGCATCTTTACCGAGTACCCCCAGATGATTCTTTGCGGATGGTCGAGGACCATATTTGGAGACACGCTGATATTCAAGAGACTGTTGCAGCTTAGTGAGAGGGAAGATCTTCTAACAGTGGTAGCCCAAAGGGGACAAGCTGCCTCAAGAGGAAGAGGTCTCCTCACTGTAGAAATTTGCACAAAGGCTGATCACTTATTGTCAGGATGTCACCGAGGGGATTGGAAGCATCAAAAGAGCTCTTGCAGTGCCTGCCCCTAAGGCGCCCTGCAACTCTGAGGGTACATGATTCTATCTTCTTGCTTCTTCTCTAGTCAGTGTATGGCGTGACTGAAGAGTCCCAGTCGCAAAGCCCCGTGCACATACCCAGTCAGCCAATCAGGAAAACTACAAAAGAGGACATCCGGAAACAGGTGAATGAATTGACTACTGCACTCCCAGGAGGAGACGTGGCCAGTTTGAAAACTCTTTGAATGTTCACCTCTGAAGCCTGAGTGAGCTTTGAGTTCCTGGAAACCACAGTGGAACCCAGCTGTGGATGACTTGAACCTCTGATTGCTGTGTGCGAACAACCCATGGAAGCTTGAGAGGAAAAAGTCTCCACCGAGTTTCCCCAGCAGTTACTAGAGAAGGACATAGAGGAGTTATCCCAATGCCTTGGGGTGACTGCTGTAGGTGGGGTCCCCACAGAATGCTGTGGGGGCTGAAGGGGGGAGGGACGGATATCATGGAGTCCTTAAAATTGTAATGCACTTACAGAGTAAGCCAGCTCAGAACCACCGACTTTATTGCTGTGATTCAAAAGGCAAGTTTACAAATAAAGAAAGCCCCACTCTCAGTGCCAATTCAGCATTATTTGGTTCAGTGTTGTCTTCCTTCATGATGAGAAGCTAACTGGTCAACCCAGGTCAGCAGACAATGGCTAATTACATTACTCCTTTCTAGGATTCACTGGCAATAAAGTAACTTTAGGATCTTTACATTATGTTTTACTGGCTTCTTGGGGGAAACCCAAAGGTGCCTGCCCTTGACAAATTTATTTGGGGTGGGGAAGAGGAAACAGATGTATGTGAAATAGCTATTTCATGATCTAGTCGAGTACACCAAGCATAATGGTGGGTGTGATGTAGGTGTGAAGAGTGTGCAGAGGGAAATCACTGGAAATTAGTCCAACCAGATATTTACAGTGCCTGTAAAGTGTTGCTAAGCTTTGTAGGATGTATACCACTGCCTTTAAGTTTGCAATCACTTTTTGGAGTCGAGACCTAGGCTACAACACAGTACAGAATATTAGCATAGGCTAAATTGTAGAGTGTGATTCCTGAGTGTGGTGGGAATTTCCAGAAGGGCAAATGATTGTTGGACTGCAAAGCTGGAGGGTTGGCAAAGGCTGGCCAGAGGAGCTGTTTAGCTATTGATGGAAATACAGGGTTTGGGTTCATGGGGTGAAGGGGGGAAAAAATCAAGTTTGGTTTTAACACCTCTGTTCTATCTTTCCCCAGATAACATTTTTGAATGCACAGATTGACAGACATTGTTTAAAAATGTCCAAAGTGGCTGAAAGGTATGTTTCCCCTCCATAATATTACTGTTTTCTTCTCATTTAACAAAGGAGAAACGTTACAGGGTCATGGCTAACAAGGATGCACCACACCAAGAGGCAGACCATAGTCATTTCTTAAACTGATAAGTGAAGAAACACCACAGGCCCCGTGTGAGTACAGCTAAGACAGCAGACCTCCCTTGAGTGATGTCAAGAAATGTTTTGTGGCTGAAGCTTTTCAGGGGGTGGCCACGGGACCTTGTCAATCCTTGTCAATCCAGGAGGAATGTCCGTAAAAGCTACGTAATGCACTTTTGCCTTCAGCCTCTTGATTCATTCAAATGGAATTGCTCCCTTTTCAGCTATAAAATGCCCAGATTCACTTTATAGGGGAAAAAAAAAATGATGTGTGCCCTTTGAGGTGCTGGCCGCGCAAATAGGAGGGGGCCGGGCCATCAGGAGGCGTCCCACCTCCACACACCATTGACCACAGAACTGCATCAAATCAACTGTAAAGAAAATATTTGGCCCCTCCAGCCTGGCTTCCTCGGGAGTGTTTGTGCTACCATCTGAACCCGTAGCTGGTTCCACTCCCACTCCGTTAACTCGAGGGAAACTCCATTTTGTCAACTAAATGGTCTGTTTTTCGAATCCTCAGTGAAGAGGAGAGACCACCTGGGGAATCTGTGATGGAATAAATCTGATCGGACAGTCCCACACTGAACATTTGTTCGTCCATATGCTACTGCTTAAGCGATGACCAGTATCTGAGGGATCAAGGGCTTAAGCTGGGTCTTAGCATTTACTGGATATCGGCGTAAAGTGGGTTCTTTAAGCCCTGCTCACACAGAGGGCTGGCTGTGTGTTCAACCCGTGAGCCTTTCCCTGCTGGCCCCCATGTTGATCTGCATACTCTTTCTAGATAAATAACAACAAATTAAGGCTAAGAAAAATCCCACTCCCAAACCCAAAACCCTGAATGAACACCCCGTGTTCAGGGGGCCAAGGACATCTGTGGATTTGGGCTGGCATCTCTGTCTATTCTGGAACTCATTGGTAATGTCGCTATTGACATCCTGGGCAGTCCTGTGCATTTCAGGATAGTTAGCAGCATCCCCAACTTCTACCTACTAGATGCCAAAACCCACCTCACAGTCACGACAACCAAAAATGTCTTCAGACATCATCAAACGTTCCCAGGGCAGGGCCAGGGGGTAGGCAAAATTGCCCCTGGTAAGAATCACCGAGATTCGCATTTTCTCCAATGCAAGTGCTCCGGAAGGTGGCTGGAGGCTGGTGCTCAGCTCACCCTTCCACACGGATTGCTGTGGAGTCGGCGCTGCAGCTGACTCTTCGAGCCCTGGAGCCGCCTCCCCGCAACTGTCATGACATGGGGCTTCCCAAGTACCAGGCTCTAAAATTGCTTTTCCGATCTCGCTGCGGTTGCCTTTGTCCCAGAGAGTGCCCATGCGTGAGGTGGCAGGGTGACCTTGCCTGCATTGGTGCCAAGCCTGTGAGGGCCTCTGAGCTTCTGTCTCTGTCAGAGAGGAACGGGGATGGCTGTCCTCATGTGCCAGTCACACCTGGCCTTCGCAGGGCACCTGAGAATTGGCAGTCCTAGGAGAGCATGTGTGTTTGTGGGGGTGGGGGGGGAGCGCGGTGCAGGGAGCATCTTTCCTTGGGTCAAGTGGCTTAGGTCCCATGGTTTTGAGCAGGACAGTCCAGGCAGGGAGGGGTTCAGAATGGGGTTTCCCAAACCGTAGCTCTGGGGATTTGGATTCAGGGACTCCGGGTAGATCCAGAGGAGCCCACATTTTGAATAATCTGCAGGTGGACTGAGCAGGTCTCCAAGGATTTGGGGAAGCCACTGCCTAGCCCTCACTGACCTGAGAGCTCACAGGAGAAGGGGCACCAAGCTTTGTCCGCTCTCTGGGGAGATGGGGAAAGAGCCTGAACCAGTCAGCCTGAGGGAAGCCCACTGACTCCTGGCAGGTGTGCTGGGACCTAAGGCCGGCCCGAGAGACAGTCCAGGTGGGGCGGGGAGCCTGGCCAGGCCTGGTGTGTGTTTGCCTACCGCTGTCAGGGAGGGCCCCACCTGGGGGCATCTCTTTATGCTTGAGAGACTGCTCGGCTGGCACCGGAAAGATGATTCCAACCAGCCACTCCTCACTCCCAGCTCGAAAATTCGGGAGTCTCCGCCCAGCAGAGACTGGATTTTATTCCCGGCAGCAATAACTGGCAACTTTTCAACGTGACACAAGGGTTTTTCATTAGAACCACAAGGAAACTCTCAGATAGAGAGGAGGAGGGAGAGGAGACGGGTGTGAGCAGGAGATAAAACAGCCTGGAGCCTTGGCCTTTAGCGGCTCCACGGGGGCGGGGACAGGGAGGGGGTGTTGGCAGCTAGCCTTGGGTGCCACCACTCCGCTCCCCAAAGCTGAAAGCTGAGCTGCCTCAGGTGGATGCTCACAGCCCCGTGCCAGGGCTGCTCTCCCTGGGCCTGTGGCAGGTGATGGGTGGTAATTAGCCGTCAGGCAAAGGACCTCATCCCCCTGAGAACAGGTGCATGTCACGCAGTTCCCTGAGAGCTGATGTTGGGGAGAGGCGTGAGGGCCAGTGATGAGTGATGGGTTGGCTCAGGGTTGTGGTCAAAGGTTGTGGCCACACCCAGCCGGGAAGGTAATAAGGACACTTGCCTACTGAAGGAGCAGAGCCGAACAATTTAGGGGATGGGTGTGGAGCCAGCCATCAGGGCTGGGATCCTGCCTCTGCCATTTTCTAACTGTGTGACCTTGGGCAGGTTGCTTTATCGCTCTGTGCCTCTGTTCTACTTCTTTAAAGGAGAGAGAGCAGTAGCACTTAACTTACGGGGTTAATGGGTTCGTCCATGACATGAGCTTCATCCAGTCCTTGGCACTTACTACACATGCAATGAATGTGAGCCATTATTTTTATCATTTACCCCTGTGGTGCTTAATGGTGTCTTGGAAAGGAGCAGGCTTCAGGTACATGGAATGGAATGAACTGGGTGTATGGTGTTCAGAGGAAGCAACAAAGGGCAAGCCAAGGAGTGAAGCTGGTCCTGCAGATGGCAGCTTTGTGTGAATGCAATTCTTCGACCCTGTCTCTTTTCAGTCTGCTGCACAGAGAGCCCTGCAGGCTGCCCATGAAGGCTGGCTCTGCAGTCCACGTCTGTGTGTCAGCACCACTAATCTGGCACCTTTGAAGAAGGAAGGACCATATGGGAAGAGTTTGGTTCTTCTGCCCAGATCTTTTTGGGTCATCCTGGTTTTGACTACGCTGTCCCATTGTCACCATGAGTGGCTAATGGCCAATATCATGGCAACCAAACTCCATTTCCCAGCATACGCTGCCTTTTGCACCTGGAAGCAATACAAAGTCCTGTCTAAGATGTTACCCGATTTTTGCTTCAGATAGTATGGTCCCTGCGCACACAAATGAATCTCCCAGATAAATAACGTTTAACACCTTAAGCCTTTTATCTTAACTATTTTAAATGAGAATCTTTCTTTCTTTTCTTTCTTTTTTTTTTAAAGATTGATTTATTTAGGAGAGAGAGAGAGAAGGGAGGAGGGGCAGAGAGAGAGGGAGAGAGAAACTCCAAGCCGACTCTGCACTGAGCACGGAGCCCGACACGGGGCTCGATCTCACGACCCTGAGATCACGACCTGAGCCAAAACCAAGAGTTGCGTGCCCAACTGACTGTGCCACCCAAGTGCCCCCACACGAGAATCTTTCTTAAGTATGGTTCATGCACTTGCCTTCTTAAAGAAAGGACACTATATTTCAGTTAATTTTCCTGGATGACTTTTATACTGTGCTTTAAAACCACCAGTGATCAGGGTCTCAGGAAGTGCCACAAACTGCTTCCCTTTCCCTAAACAGCCCCAGACCATTACAACCTTTGAGTCTCTGTTTCTGCTTTTTAGTTGTTTGGTTGTTGGTTTTTTTTCTTGTTCCCGGTCAACAATCTGCAGCAGACCAGGTGTTTCAGTTAGATACCGCTGAGTAACAACCGACCTCAAAACCTAGTGGCTTCAAACAGCGGGCATTTGCTACTGCTCACATGATTACGTGCCACCCAGCCAACTCCACTGGGCTCAGGCTCGTGTCTGTGTGCAGCCATGGGCCAGGCAGGCAGCTCCGTGAGCTTGGCTGGGCTCTCTCACACGCTTGGCTCCAGCTGGTTTAGCATGACCTCACCTGGGATACTGGGCTCTTCCTCACACAGTCTCTCATCCTCCCACGAGTTTGACCTTGCTCACGTGGGAATAGCAGAATTCCAGGAGAGAGAGTAGAAGCAGGCAAAGCCTCCTGAGGCTTGGAACTGACACTCTGTCATTTCTGCTGTATTTTATTGGCTAACACATGTCACAAGCCCAGACCAGATTCATGGGCTGGAGACTTGTTTTTAAATTGATCTACCATACCAGGAAATCAAATGACCAAGTCCCTTAGCCTTGGTCCTAAAGCAAGAGTAAAGAGTGTTTTCCGAGGGGTGTGCTCTTCTGAATGCAGATGATGAGCCTCGAGGCATCAGGTTTATGTCATTGTAGACTCTGCTCAGAGGCCCTTTTGGTCATCTATCTCACCTGTGTTCCCTCAATAGTTGAGACTGCCAAATAATTGAGGTCTTACTGTCCTTTGCCAGGGTCCTCAATGGAGCCCCTTGTTTATTCACCCAAGCCTTACAGCACTTGACAAATCAATTTGGGAACGCAAAACTGTACACATTTTAGTTCCAAGTGGTCTGAAAAGTCTCTACGTTTTGCAGGGTATCTGCAGAGATTTCTCCCTACTCATAGTGGCACTGAGTTATGCCCACTCACTGCAAGAGTCACATCACACTGCCCCACACAGAGGGATGGAGTTGTCTCATTCCCTATCTGCCTGTGTACTTGGCTGTCCTTACCCTATCCCTGGGAGCCATTGTGCATCACAGCTGACTGCTGAATTGATTTTTTACATCATCTTGCTTGCCCATCTCGGGATCGCGGCTG